ACTTTAAAGGCAAATACAGAAAGTTACCTACCTGTAAGAAAAAAATAATTTTTTTAATATTGAAAAGGTTCACTTTTTGGAAAATAATCAAAGACCTAATAAAAGATAACATAAAGCATAAGAAATTATCTTGATAGGCTGGGCATGGTAGCTCTTGCCTGTAATCCCAGCAGTTTGGGAGGCTGAGGCAGGTGGATCATGAGGTCAAGAGATCGAGATCATCCTGGCCAACATGGTGAAACCCCATCTCCACTAAAAAAAAAAAAATATATATATATATATATAAATTAGCTGGGCATGGTGGCTTGAGCCTGTTGTCCCAGCTACTCAGGAGGCTGAGGCAGAAGAATGGCTTGAACCAGGAGGCAAAGGTTGCAGTGAGCCGAGATCACGCCACTGCACTCTACCTTGGTGACAGAGCGAGATTCTGTCTCAAAAAAAAGAAAAGAAAAGAAATTATCTTGATAAAACATGAAATCTTTGTTTTCTAGGCCAACTACTTAAAGAAAAAATCTTTCATAATCAAGAGTAGACTAACACTCCAAGAAAGCTTTGCCTTTTTAACAGAAAGAAAACCAAATGCTAAGCTAGGTGGGATGGTGCATGCCTGTAGTCCCAGGTATTCAGGAGGCTGAGGCAGAAGGATCACTTGAGCCTAGGAGTTCAAGGCTGTACTGTGCTATGATTTATGATTACACCTATGAATGTAAACAGCTACTGTACTCTAGCCTGGGCAACATACTAAGACCCAGCTCTAAAAAAAGAAAACTGAATTCTAACTTTGTATGAATACATTACCGTATTTTTTAATGGTATGAATAAAATACCTAATCTTAGTAGTTTGACCACACACAAAATTCCTCCTTCACAGATCCACAACTTTCTGTATCTGTTGAGTTTTTGTCTTACTCATTTCCTTCTTTTTTATTCTAGAACGGTCAGTCATCTTGCTCTAAGACAAAATTACTCATTATCCTAAGTGAATTCGTGCAGGAACAGAAAACCAAATACCTCATGTTCTCACTTATAAGTAGGAGGTAAACACAGGAGTACTCGTGGACATAAAGATGGCAACAGTAAAAATGGGACAGCCCGAGGAGGGAGGGAGAGAGGCTCAAGGTTTTCAAGGTTGAAAAACTATTGGGTACTATCCTGAGAACCTGTGTGATTGGATCACACATACCCTAAACCTCAGCATCACATGATACACCTAAGTAACAAACCTGCACACGTACCCCATGTCTAAAAAAAAGGTGAAAAAAAAGACAAAGTACTGTTTTTCTTAACGCAAACATATACCTTGTATACTCTTCCCTATTAAAAACACATCTTGCCGGGCGCGGTGGCTCAAGCCTGTAATCCCAGCACTTTGGGAGGCTGAGGTGGGTGGATCACGAGGTCAAGAGATCAAGACCATCCTGGTCAATATGGTGAAACCCCGTCTCTACCAAAAATACAAAAAATTAGCTGGGCATGGTGGTGTGTGCCTGTAATCCCAGCTACTCAGGAGGCTGAGGCAGGAGAATTGCCTGAACCCAGGAGGCGGAAGGTTGCAGTGAGCCGAGATCGCGCCATTGCACTCCAGCCTGGGTAACATGAGTGAAACTCCGTCTCAAAAAAAAAAAAAAAAAAAAAACACATCTTACTTCCTCCATATATCTTTCATATTTATATTCATTTTCATATACAGTCGTTTCCTTCAACCCTTACTACTTGTAGTTTTAATTACATATATTAATTAAATGTCTTAACCTTAGGAACCTAATATCTAGTGAAAATTAGGAAGCACATGATTTCGTAATTTTTTTTTTGAGATGGAATCTCACTCTGTCACCCAGGCTAGAGTGCACTGGTGCTATCTCGGCTCACTGCAACCTTTGCCTCCTGGGTTCAAGTGATTCTCCTGTCTCAGCCTCCTGGGCAGCTGGGACTACAGGCACACGCCACCATGCCTAGCTAAGTTTTTGTATTTTTAGTAGAGACAGGGTTTCACCATGTTGGCCAGGATGGTCTCCATCTCTTGACTTTGTGATCCACCCACCTTGGCCTCCCAACGTGCTGGAATTACAGGTGTGAGCCACCGCACCTGGCCCCAGGAAGACATATTATAACATTCAACAAAACTGTGTTCATCTCAGTTTATTTTTCTTGTTGAAAAATTTTGTAACAAATATGAGTTTGATTAACAAATCTAGGTAGAATATCCATTTTTACTAAATCACCAATATTCTTATTTATTAAAGATTAATTAAACCACA